CCTCGGCCGCCCCCCGCAGCCGTGTGCGTGTGGGAGATCCTGAGTTTCGGGAAGCAGCCGTTCTTCTGGCTGGAAAACCGGGATGTGATCGGAGTCCTGGAAAAGGGGGACCGGCTCCCCAAGCCCGAGCGCTGCCCGCCCCCGCTCTACGCGCTCCTGACGCGCTGCTGGGACTACGATCCCGGGGAACGGCCCAGGTTCCAGGAGCTGGTCTGCAGCCTCAGGTGAGAGACCGGAATTCCATGGGAAAGCGGGAATGTGGGGGGAAAAACCGGGAAAATCTTTGGATTGGGGTTTTTTTTAATGGAAAATTTGGGTTCTGAGCCGTTTCCGGGAAGTGAAACGTTCCCATTCCAAAGGGTCTCCACAGCTCCTCCGAGCCCAAATTCCAGGAGCTGCTCTGCAGCCTCAGGTGAGACCGGAATTCCATGGAAAAGCGGGAATGTGGGGGAAAAATTCTGGGAAAATCTGGGGGATTTTTTATGGAAAATTCGGGTTCTGAGCCGTTTCCGGGAAGCAAAACGTTCCCATTCCAAAAGAATCCTCCAAGCCCAAATTCCAGGAGCTGCTCTGCAGCCTCAGGTGAGACCGGAATTCCATGGAAAAGCGGGAATGTGGGGGGAAAATCCGGGAAAATCTGGGGGATTTTTTATGGAAAATTCGGGTTCTGAGCCGTTTCCGGGAAGTGAAACGTTCCCATTCCAAAGGGTCTCCACAGCTCCTCCAAGCCCAAATTCCAGGAGCTGCTCTGCAGCCTCAGGTGAGACCGGAATTCCATGGAAAGGCAGGAATGTGGGAGGAAAATCCGGGAAAATCTGAGGTTTTTTTATGGAAAATTCGGGTTCTGAGCCGTTTCTGGGAAGCGAAACGTTCCCATTCCAAAAGAATCCTCCGAGTCCAAATTCCAGGAGCTGTTCTGCAGCCTCAGGTGAGACTGGAATTCCATGGAAAAGTGGGAATGTGGGAGGAAAATCCGGGAAAAGATTCAGATTGGGTGTTTTTTTATGGAAAATACGGGTTCTGAACCATTTCCGGGAAGCAAAACATTCCCATTCCAAAGGGCTCCTCTGAGCCCAAATTCCAGGAGCTGCTCTGCAGCCTCAGGTGAGACCGGAATTCCGCTGGATCCATGGAAAGGCGGGAATGTGGGGGAGAAAATTCTGGGAAAATCTTTGGGATTGGGGTTTTTTTAATGGAAAATTTGGGTTCTGAGCATTTCCTGGGAAGGGAAACGTTCCCATTCCAAAGGGTCTCCACAGCTCCTCCAAGCCCAAATTCCAGGAGCTGCTCTGCAGCCTCAGGTGAGACCGGAATTCCGCTGGATCCATGGAAAGGCGGGAATGTGGGGGGGAAATCTGGGAAAAGATTCGGATCGGGGGTTTTTATGGAAAAATTTGGGCTTGGAGGAGCATTGGAGACACTTTGGAGATCCTTTCCCAAGAAATTCTGGGAATTCTGGACAGGAGGGGTTGGGAATGGGGACGAAAAATCCAGGAAAATATTCAGATCAGGGGTTTTTATGGAAAATTTGGGCTTGGAGGAGCATCAGAGATCCTTTCCCAGGAAATTCTGGGAATTCTGGACAGGAGGGGTTGGGAATGTGGATGAAAAATCCGGGAAAATCCTCGGGTTGGGAATGTGGATGAAAAATCCGGGAAAATCCTCGGATTGGGAGTTTTTATGGAAAACTTTGGGCTCGGAGGAGCATGGGAGACCCTTTGGAATGGGAAGGGGACGGAAGAGCTCGGCTTCCCGGGAAAAGGGAATCCCCGGGAATTCCCCTCCCGCAATTCACCCGGGAATTCTCTGCCCCTCCCACTCCCTGGGTGCTTTCCCGGTGAAAATTCGGGATGCGAGGCGGGAATTCCCGGGATTCTCCCCTTTCCGCAGCGACATTTACCTGATGGAGAAGGAGCTGGCCCAGGAGCAGGAGAGGAACAACCGGCACCGCGCTCCCAAAATCCTGGAGCCGCCGACATTCCAGGAGCCGCCTCCCAAGGTCGGGATCTGGGGCTCCCCCGGGATTCCCGGCCGGGAATTCCCGGATGGGATCCGGAGGAATTCCCGGGGTTTTTTTCCCCGCTTTTCCCGCAGCCCAGCAGGCCCCTGTACAAGCCGCCATCCCAGAATAATCTCCTGGCTCCCAAGCTGCAGTTCCAGGTGAGGCTCCGGAGAAATTTGGGAATTCCCCACGGGAATTTGGGCTGGGAAAATCTGGGAATGTGGTGGATTTTGGGATGGGCTCCGCGTCACCGCTCCGGGGTTCGATCCCTCCGGGAATCCCGGAGTCCTTGAGGTTGGAAAAGCTCTTGGAGGCCTTGGGGCCCAAGGCATTCCCAAAAAATCCGCGTGGATCTGAATCCATCCAGGAACGGGGGATCCATCCGCGGATTTTCCATGCGGGAATTATTCCCGATAAACCCCGGAGCAGCCGGAACGGAGCTCGAGTTCCCATCCCTCGTTTTCCCGGGAAGCAAATCCCGAAACCTGGCTCCGCGGGGAATTCCAGAGGGGAATTCCAGAGGGGAATTCCACAGGGAATTTCTCCAGGGAATTTTTCCAGGCTGAGCTTTCCCAGCTCCCTCCACCACTCCCGATTTTTTGGGATGAGCTCCACAGGGAATTCCAGAGGGAATTCCAGAGGGGAATTTCTCTAGGCTGAGCTTTCCCAGCTCCCTCCACCACTCCTGATTTTTCAGGATGAGCTCCACAGGGAATTCCAGAGGGAATTCCAGAGGGGAATTTCTCCAGGGAATTTTTCCAGGCTGAGCTTTCCCAGCTCCCTCCACCACTCCCGATTTTTTGGGATGAGCTCCACAGGGAATTCCAGAGGGAATTCCAGAGGGGAATTTCTCCAGGCTGAGCTTTCCCGGCTCCCTCCACTACTCCCGATTTTTCGGGATGAGCTCCAGAGGGGAATTCCACAGGGGATTTCTCCAGGCTGAGCTTTCCCAGCTCGATTTTTCGGGATGAGCTCTCGGGAAGAACCAAACATTCCAAGTCCACCACGAACCCAACCCCGGCGCCATTCCCGCTTTTCCCGCTTTTCCCCGCTCCGCGCTAAATTCCCGGTTTTTTCCCCCCTCCCCGTGGGCTCCTCTCGCCGCCGCTCCCGCGCAATTCCCGAATTCCCAGGTTCCGGAGGGGCTCTGCGCCAGCTCTCCCACCCTCGCCAGTCCCGCCGAGTACCAGACTCCGGCAAATTCCCGGCGCTCTCCTCCTCCTCCCGGCCGCCACAGCGCCTTCAAGCGCCGCAGCGTGAGGGTAAGCCCGGAATTCCCGCCGGGATCCCGCATGGAATTCCCAATCCTCCCGCCCCACTCCGGATCCGCTTCCCGCCGGGATCCCGCATGGAATTCCCAATCCTCCGTCCCCCTCCGCTTCCCGCCGCCGCTTCCCGCCGCCGCTTCCCGCTCGGATCCATGAGAAATCCCGTTCCCGACGGATAAATCGATCTTTGGGACGTTCTCCTTCTTGTAATTCCGGAATTTTGGAATGTAATTCCAAGGAATTTTGGGCAGAAATTCCCGAAAGGGTGTGGTGATTTTTCCCAAATCTTCATCTTTGGGTCTTCATCCCAAAAATTCCTGCTGGGAGTTGGGATGCTCCGAGGTGTCGCTCCGGGAATGCTGATCCCGTCGGGATGAGTCGCTTTCCCGCCGTGTCGGAATGCGGCTGCCTCTCCTTCCTGGAAATCCCGTTTCCCTCCTTTTCCCTCTTTTTCCCTCGTTTTTCCCGCCTTTTTTTTCCTGGATTTTCTCCCATTTCCCCCCTTTTCCATCTCCTTTTCCCACTTTTCCCCTTTCTCCCCTTTTTTCCCTCTTTTCCCCCTTTTTTCCCTTTTTTCTCCTTTATCCCAAATTTTCCCCCTTTTCCCCCATTTTTCTCCTCTAACCCCATTTCCAATTTTTCCCCTTTTCCCCATTCTTTTCCCATTCTTTCCCACTTTTCCCTATTTTTCCCCATTCCTTTCCCATTCCTTCCCCATTTTTCCCATTATTTTCCCATTCTTTCCCCTTTTTTTTACCTCATTTTTCCCATTCTTTCCCGTTTTCTCCCATTCTTTCCCCCTTTCTTTTCCCACTTTTCCCCATTTTTTTCTCACTTTCCCCATTCTTTCCCCATTCTTTTCTCCATTCTTTTCCCACTTTTCCCATTATTTTCCACATTTTTTCCCATTCTTTCTCCATTTTTCCCCCTTTTCCCCATACTTTCCCATTTTTTTTCCAATTCTTTCCCCATTCTTTTCCCATTCTTTTCCCACTTTTTCCCAATTCTATTCCCATTTTCCCACTCTTTCCCATTTTTTCCTCATTCTTTCCCCATTCCTTCCCAATTCTTTTCCCATTCTTTCCCCCCTTCTTTCCTCATTCTTTTCCACATTTTTCCCCCTTTTTCCTCATTCTTCCCCCATTCTTTTCCCACTCTTTCCCCCATCCTTTCCCCATTCCTTCCCAATTCTTTTCCCATCTTTCCCCACTCTTTTCCCACTTTCCCCAATTCTTTTCCCCATTCTTTCCCCATTTTTTCCCACTTTTCCCCCATTCTTTCCCCATTCCTTCCCAATTCTTTTCCCCCCTTTCCCCACTCTTTTCCCACTTTCCCCATTTTTTCCCCACTTCTTCCCCATTTTTTTCCCACTTCTTTCCCCATTTTCCCATTCTTTCCCCATTCCTTCCCAGTTCTATTCCCGTTTTCCCACTTTCTCCCATTCTTTCCCCATTTTTCCCATTCTCTCCCCATTCCTTTCCCATTCTTTCCCCATTTTTTGCCACTTTTCCCATTCTTTCCCCATTCTTTCCTCATTCCTTCCCCATTCTTTTCCCCATTTTTCCCCATTCTTTTCCCATTCTTTTCCGCATTTTTTCCTCATTTTTTTCCCATTCTTTTCATATTCTTTCCCCCATTTTTCCCCCTTTTCCCCCATTCTTTTCCCACTTTCCTCCCCATTCTTTTCCCACTCTTTTCCCCATTCTTTCCCCCCACTTCCAATTCTTTCCCCATTCTTTTCCCACTTTTCCCCATTTTTTCCCACTTTGCCCATTCTTTCCCATTCTTTTCCCACTTTCCCATTCTTTCCCCACTCTTTTCCCCCCTTTCCCCCATTCTTTCCCTATATTTCCCCTTTCCCCCATTCTTTCCCCATTCTTTCCCCATTTTTTTCCCCTTTTCCCCATTCTTTTCCCACTTTCCCCATTTTTTCCCACTTTTCCCATTCTTTCCCCCATTCTTTCCCCATTTTCCCCCACTTTTCCCCCATTCTTTTCCCATTCTTTTCCCATTCTTTTCCCATTCCTTCCCAATTCTTTTCCCATTCTTTTCCCCCCTTTCCCCATTCTTTTCCCACTTTCCCCAATTCTTTCCCCAATTCTTTCCCCAATTCTTTCCCCACTTTCCCCAATTCTTTTCCCCATTCTTTTCCCACTTTTCCCATTCTTTCCCTCACTTCTTCCCCATTTTTTCCCACTTCTTTCCCCATTCCTTCCCCATTCTTTTCCCATTCTTTTCCCCCCTTTCCCCATTATTTTCCCACTTTCCCCATTCTTTTCCCATGTCTTTTCCCATTCTTTTCCCCATTCTTTTCCCACTTTTCCCCATTCTTTTCCCCCCTTTCCCCAATTCTTTTCCCCATTTTTTTCCCACTTTTCCTCGTTTTTTTCCCGTTTTCCACTTTTTCCCCATTCTTTTCCCATTTCTTTCCCCATTTTTTTTCCCTTTTCCCCATTATTTTCCCACTTTTCCCACTTTTCCCCCATTCTTTCCCCATTCCTTCCCAATTCTTTTCCCCCTTTTCCTCATTCTTTTCCCATTTTTCCCCATTTTTTCCCACTTTTCCCATTCTTTCCCCCACTCTTTTCCCATTTTTCCCCACTTTTTCCCCATTCTTTTCCCATTCCTTCCCAATTATTTTCCCATTCTTTTCCCCCCTTTCCCCATTCTTTTCCCACTTTTCCCAATTCTTTTCCCCATTCTTTTCCCACTTTTCCCCATTTTTTCCCCACTTTTCCCATTCTTCCCCCATTTTTTCTCCATTTTTCCCCATTCTTTTCCCATTCTTTTCCCATTCCTTCCCAATTCTTTTCCCATTCTTTTCCCACTTTCCCCAATTCTTTTCCCCATTCTTTTCCCACTTCTCCCCATTCTTTTCCCATTTCTTTCCCCATTCTTTTCCCCATTTTTTTTCCCTTTTCCCCATTATTTTCCCACTTTTCCCAATTCTTTTCCCTTCTTTCCCCATTTTTTCCCACTTTTCCCCCATTCTTTTCCCATTCCTTCCCAATTCTTTCCCCCATTCTTTCCCCATTTTTTCCCAATTCTTTTCCCCCCTTTCCCCACTCTTTTCCTACTTTCCCCATTTTTTCCCCATTTCTTCCCCATTTTTTCCCACTTCTTTCCCCATTCTTTTCCCATTCCTTCCCAATTCTTTTCCCATTCTTTTCCCCCCTTTCCCCATTATTTTCCCACTTTCCCCAATTCTTTTCCCCATTCTTTTCCCACTTTTCCCCATTTTTTCCCCACTTTTCCCATTCTTCCTCCATTTTTTCTCCATTTTTCCCCATTCTTTTCCCATTCTTTTCCCATTTCTTCCCAATTCTTTTCCCATTCTTTTCCCACTTTCCCCATTTTTTCCCATTTCTTTCCCCATTCTTTTCTTCATTTTTTTCCCTTTTCCCCATTATTTTCCCACTTTTCCCATTCTTTTCCCATTCTTTTCCCATTCTTTCCCCCATTCTTTCCCCATTTTCCCCCACTTTTTCCCTATTCTTTCCCAGTTCTATTCCCGTTTTCCCACTTTTTCCCATTTTTTACTCATTCTTTCCCCCATTCTTTTCCCATTCCTTCCCCATTCTTTTCCCATTCTTTTCCCACTTTCCCCAATTCTTTTCCCCATTCTTTTCCCACTTTTCTCCGTTCTTTTCCCATTTCCCCCTTTTCCCCATTCTTTTCCCGTTTCCCACTTTTTCCCCATTCTTTTCCCATTTCTTTCCCCATTCTTTTCCCCATTCCCCATTCTTTTCCCATTTCTTTCCCCATTCTTTTCCCCATTTTTTTTCCCTTTTCCCCATTATTTTCCCACTTTTCCCAATTCTTTTCCCTTCTTTCCCCATTCTTTTCCCACTTTTCCCCGTTCTTTTCCCATTTCCCACTTTTTCCCCATTCTTTCCCCATTCTTTTCCCACTTTTCTCCCATTCTTTCCCAGTTCTATTCCCCTTTTCCCACTTTTTCCCATTCCTTTTACATTCTGTCCCCATTCTTTTCCCCCCTTCCCCAATTCTTTCCCACATTTTTTCCCATTTTTTCCCATTCTTTCCCCATTCTTTTCCCACTTTTCCCTATTTTTTCCCCATTCCTTTCCCATTCTTTCCCCTTTTTTTTCCCATCATTTTCCCACTCTTTCCCCATTTTTTCCCACTTTTTTCCCACTTTTTTCCCATTCTTTCCCCCACTCTTTTCCCCATTTTCTCTCCATTCTTTTCCCACTTTTCCCATTCTTTCCCCATTTTTCCCATTCTCTCTGCATTCCTTTCCCCCATTCTTTCCCCATTTTTTCCCACTTTTCCCTATTTTTTCCCCATTCCTTTCCCATTCTTTCCCCCTTTTTTTTCCCATCATTTTCCCACTCTTTCCCCATTTTTTCCCACTTTTTTCCCACTTTTTTCCCATTCTTTCCCCACTCTTTTCCCCATTTTCTCTCCATTCTTTTCACACTTTTCCCATTCTTTCCCCATTTTTCCCATTCTCTCTGCATTCCTTTCCCCCATTCTTTCCCCATTTTTTCCCACTTTTCCCTATTTTTTCCCCATTCCTTTCCCATTCTTTCCCCTTTTTTTCCCCATCATTTTCCCACTCTTTCCCCATTTTTTCCCACTTTTTTCCCACTTTTTTCCCATTCTTTCCCCCACTTTTTTCCCCATTTTTTCCCCATTCTTTTCCCACTTTTCCCATTATTTCCCCATTTTTCCCTTTCTCTCTGCATTCCTTTCCCCCATTCTTTCCCCATTTTTTCCCACTTTTCCCTATTTTTTCCCCATTCCTTTCCCATTCTTTCCCCTTTTATTTCCTATCATTTTCCCACTCTTTCCCCATTTTTTCCCATTCTTTTCCCATTCTTTCCCCCACTCTTTTCCCCATTTTTTCCCCATTCCTACCCCAATTTCCCCCACTTTTCCCCCATTCTTTCCCCATTCCTTCCCCCCATTTTTTCCCCATTTTTTCCCCATTTTTCCCCATTTTTCCCCCATTTTTCCCCCTCTCTTTCCCCCCTTTCCCCCGGTTGTTTCCCGTCCCTGACCCGCTCCCCGCCGCCCTTGCAGGAGGAGGATTTCCAGCGGCCGCGGAGCCGGGAGGAGGCGCAGGAGCTGCTGGAGCTGGAGCGGCTGCGGGTGGAGCGCGCCATGGAGCGCCAGCAGCGCCAGATGCTGGAGGACGAGCGCTGGCTGCGACAGGAGGTCCAGAGCCTGGTGGGTCATTCCCAAAAATCCCAAAACCTTTGGAATCGCCCCGCCCTGGGAAAAGATTCCCATCCCCGGGGGATTGGTTCCCACCCGAGGGGTGGTTACGGATTTTATTTGGATTTTTTGGGAATTCCAGCCCAGCCCTCCTCACAAATTGATTCCCAAATTCCTCACCCTTTTTCCCAGGGAATTCCCTCCATTCCTGGCTGTCTGGGGTTGGATCCAGCCCCATCCTGACTTTCCTGGCCGGGAAGGGATTTCGGGATTCGGGGGCTTCCCTGGGAATTGGGGACTCCAGGAAGGGTCTCCCTTCCCTTTCCCATCCCCGAATTCCATAAAAATCCCCCAGGATGGATCCTGAGTGTCCTCAATCCCAGAATCCCAAAATTATTTGGATGGGATCCCTGGATCTTCAGTCCAATCCCAATCCCAATCCCAATCCCATCCCAATCAAAATCCCACCATCCCAGGATGATCCGGCTTTTCCTTGGGGATTGATCCCAGGGATTCTCTGGGAATTCCTTCCCAAGCTCCCAGCTCCCCTTTCCCAGTGGGAAGCCATTCCCTGGCTCCTGGCCCTGCGGCCCTTTCCCAAATCCCAGCTCTCCCGCAGCCCCTGGAGCCTCGGGAAGCGGCTCCCAGCATTCCCGGGATCCCTTTTCCCGATCCGGCTGCACATTCCCGGCTCTCCCAGCCCAGGATTGGATCCAGCCCCATCCCAACTCCTCCTGGAGAAGGAATTTCGGGATCCAGGGGCTTCACTGGGAATTCCCAACTCCAGGAAGGGTCTCCCTTCCCTTTTCCATCCCTGAATTCCATAAAAATCCCTTGGGATGGATCCTGAGTGTCCTCGATCCCAGAATCCCGGGATGGTTTGGGATGGGATCCATGGACTTCCCATCCCATCCCATCCCAATCCCGATCCCAGGCTGCTCCAGCTTTTCCTTGGACACTCCCAGGGATCCAGAGGCAGCCGCGAGTTCCCTGGGAATTCCATCCCGGCTTCCCACCCGGAGGTGGAAGAACCAATTCCTGCCTTTTCCATCCCACTTTTCCATGGAAAAACGGCTCCTCCCGCAGCCCAGCCTTTCCCACCCCCACCAAACCCTGAGCAGCTCCGTGATCCAAAGGATTGTTTGGAATTCTGGGGCCTTTTAAAACATTTTTGGGGATTTTTTTTCGTATTTTGGGATTTTCAGGAAGCAAATTTGGGGTTCCTGGGGTGGAATTCCCCTTCCCATCCCACATTCCCGGATTTTGGGCTGCTCCTTTCCTGGGAAATGTTCCGTGGCTCTACCGGAAATCGGGAAAATCCATTTTTTCATCATTTTTCCTCATTTTTCCCTCATTATTTACTCATTTTTCCTTCATTTTTTCCTCATTTTTTCATCATTTTTTCCTCATTTTTTCCTCATTTTTTCCTCAGGTTTTTCCTCATTTTTCCTTCATTTTTCCCTCATTTTTCCCACATATTTCCTTCACTTTTCCCTCATTTTTTCCTAATTTTTTCCTTATTTTTCCCTCATTTTTTCCTTATTTTTCCCTATTTTTCCCCTCATTTTTTCCTCATGTTTCCTCTTTTTTCCATATTTTTTTCTTATTTTTCCTTCATTTTTCCCTCATTTTTTCCTCATTTTTTTCCTCATTTTTCCCTCATTTTTCCTTATTTTTCCTTCATTTTTCCCACATATTTCCTTCATTTTTCTCTCATTTTTTCCTAATTTTTTCCTCATTTTTCCTCATTTTCTCCTTGTTTTTTCCTTGTTTTTTCCTCATTTTTTCCTCATTTTTCCTCGTTTTTCTCTCACTTTATTCCCTCATTTTTCCTTCATTTCTCCTCAGTTTTTCCCCTCAGTTTTCCCTCATTTTCTCCTCATTATTTCTTCAGTTTTTTCCTCATTTTTCCTTATATTTCTCCTCATTTTTCCCTCATGTTTTCTCATTTTTCCTTCATTTTTCCCACATATTTCCTTCATTTTTCTCTCATTTTTCCACTTTTTTTCCTTATTTTTCCTTCATTTTTCCTCATTTTTTCCTCATTTTTCCCTCAGTTTTTTCCCTCATTTTCCCCCTCATTTTTCCCTCATTTTTCCTTAATTTTTCCCTCAGTTTTTTCCTCATTTTTCCTTATTTTTCATTAATTTTTCCCACATATCTCCCTCATTTTCTCTCATTTTTTCCCTTATTTTTCCCACATTTTTCCCTCATTTTCCCTTCATTTTTCCCACATTTTTCCCTCATTTTTTCCCTCATTTTCCCTCATTTTTCCTCATTTTCTCCTTTATTCCTTTTCCATCCTTTTTTCCCCACTTTTCCCACTCTTCCTCCATTCTCCCAATTTTCCTCCCTTTCTTGCCTCACATTCCCCCTTTCCCTCCTTTTCCCTCATTTTTCCCCCTTTCGTCCTTTTTTTCCTCTTTTCCCTCCTTTTTCCCCCTTTTCCCTCTTTTTCCCGTTTTTCCTATTTTTTCCCCAATTTTTCCTCCTTTTCCTCCCCAATTTTTCCCCCCCCAAATTTTTTATTCCCCATTTTCCTCACTCCACCTTTTCCCCCTTTTCCAGGATCCCAAGGTTTTCCTGACCAACAACATTCCTCCGGTGAGTGATCCCAGAGATCCCGGGAAATCCCGGGAAATCCCTTCCTGCTTTCCTGGGGGTTTTTTTGGGGTTTTTTCCCAGGAAAATATCCCAAATATTTTATTTATTTATTTGTTTTATTTTATTTTATTTTATTTTATTTTATTTTATTTTATTTTATTTTATTTTATTTTATTTTATTTTATTTTATTTTATTTTATTTTATTTTATTTATTTAATTGAATTTTTTATTTTTTATTTTATTTTATTTAATAAATTTATTTATTTTAATTTAATTCAATTTAATATTTTTTATTCATTTATTTATTTTAATTTAATTTAATTGTATTGTATTGTATTTATTTATTTTATTTATTTAATTTTATTTATTTTATTTAATTTTATTTATTTATTTTAATTTACTTTAATTTTTTTATTTATTTATTTTAATTTCTTTTCATTTCATCATTTATTTATTTATTTATTTTGATTATTTATTTATTTATTTTAATTTTGTTTATTTATTTTAATTTACTTTAATTTTATTTATTTATTTATTTTAATTTCATTTGATTTCATCCTTTATTTATTTATTTATTTATTTATTTTTATTTATTTCACTTCATTTAATTTTATTTATTTATTTATTTTTTCTAATCATTTATTTATTATTTATTTAATTTTATTTATTTATCTCTTTACATTTTATTTATTTATTTATTATTTATTTATTTCAGTTTATTTAATTTTATTTATTTATTTATTTCATTTTTCTAATCATTTACTTATTTATTTTTATTTAATTTTATTTAATTTTATTTATCTATTTACATTTATTTATTTATTTATTTATTTCGCTTTATTTAATTTTATTTATTTATTTATTTCATTTTTCTGATCATTTATTTATTTATTTTATTTTATTTTATTTTATTTTATTTTATTTATTTAATTGAATTTTTTATTTTTTATTTTATTTTATTTAATAAATTTATTTATTTTAATTTAATTCAATTTAATATTTTTTATTCATTTATTTATTTTAATTTAATTTAATTGTATTGTATTGTATTTATTTATTTTATTTATTTAATTTTATTTATTTTATTTAATTTTATTTATTTATTTTAATTTACTTTAATTTTTTTATTTATTTATTTTAATTTCTTTTCATTTCATCATTTATTTATTTATTTATTTTGATTATTTATTTATTTATTTTAATTTTGTTTATTTATTTTAATTTACTTTAATTTTATTTATTTATTTATTTTAATTTCATTTGATTTCATCCTTTATTTATTTATTTATTTATTTATTTTTATTTATTTCACTTCATTTAATTTTATTTATTTATTTATTTTTTCTAATCATTTATTTATTATTTATTTAATTTTATTTATTTATCTCTTTACATTTTATTTATTTATTTATTATTTATTTATTTCAGTTTATTTAATTTTATTTATTTATTTATTTCATTTTTCTGATCATTTATTTATTTATTTTATTTTATTTAATTTTATTTCATTTTATTTATTTAGATTTATTTATTTATTTATTTTGCTTTATTTAATTTCATTTATTTATTTATTTTATTTTTCTGATCATTTATTTATTTATCTAATTTTATTTAATTTTATTTATCTATTTACATTTTATTTATTTATTTATTTATTTATTTATTTCAATTTCATTTCATTATTTATTTATTTATTTATTTATTTATTTATTTATCCACCCATTCCCTTTGGGAAAACCCCTCCGGAAAAAACCGGGAAATCCCCTTTGGGGGGGGCAGGGGCGGGGTTGGGAATTGGATCCTTCCCAAAATCCCGGATTTGACGCCTCCAATTCCCGATTTTTTTTTTTCCCGCCTTTTTTTTTTTTCCCCAGCTGCTCCCAGAGAAGGAGACGGATTACAGTGAGTCGCTCCCGCCTCGGAATTCCCGCTTGGAATTGGCTGGGAATGAAATCCCGGGAACGAAATCCCGGCTTTTCCTGCCCGTGGGGTCGGGACGGGGCGGGGAGGTCGGATCCCGGGATTCCGTGGCATTCCCGCTTTTCCTTGGGATGATTTTTCCCTTCCTCTCCAGCGCAATTCACGGGGCCCCCCCAGAAACCTCCGCGGCTCGGAGCTCAGGTGAGGCCCGGGATCCTCCTTTTCCCGCCTCCGGAATCCACCGGGATGGGAATTTTTCCCGCTTTTCCCAGCTCCGGAGGGGCCCAGCGGGAATTTCGGGATCCTGGCTGGGAAGTGCTTGAAGCTTCCCCAAAAAAAAATCCTGGAATGGTTTGGGTGGGAAGGGACCTCAAAGATCGTTCCAGGGACACCTCCCGTCATCCCGGGGTGATCCGGCCTTTCCTTGGGAATCGATCCCAGGGATTCTCTGGGAATTCCTTCCCAAGCTCCCAGCTCCCCTTTCCCAGTGGGAAGCCATTCCCTGGCTCCTGGCCCTGCGGCCCTTTCCCAAATCCCAGCTCTCCCGCAGCCCCTGGAGCCTCGGGAAGCGGCTCCCAGGATTCCCGGGATCCTTCCCTGATCCAGCTGCACATTCCCGGCTCTCCCAGACCAGGATTGGATCCAGCCCCATCCCAACTCCTCCTGGAGAAGGAATTTCGGGATCCAGGGGCTTCACTGGGAATTGGGAACTCCAGGAAGGGTCTCCCTTCCCTTTTCCATCCCTGAATTCCATAAAAATCCCCCGGGATGGATCCTGAGTGTCCTCGATCCCAGAATCCCGGAATGATTTGGGATGGGATCCATGGACTTTCCATCCCATCCCATCCCAATCCCAATCCCAGGCTGCTCCAGCTTTTCCTTGGACACTCCCGGGGATCCAGAGGTAGAATTCCATAAAAACCCCCCCGGGATGGATCCCCAATCCCAGAATTCCCAGAATTCCCCTCCATTCCCATTCCATGGGCAGACAATTCCCTCATCCCAGGCTGCTCCAAGCCCCATCCCACCTTCCCCAAGCACCGGGAACCCCCGGGGTCGCCCATTCCCGGTTTGTTTTTATTTCCCGGGATCCGTCTGATCCCGCCGTGTCCCCGTTCCCGGCCAGCCCGCGGCGCAGCCGGAGCGCCGGGATGATCCGGTTTACGGGAACGTCACGGATCTGGTGCGGGCCGTGCTGCGGCTGAAGAACGAGATCGGCCTGGTGCCTCCCGACGGATACATCCTGGTGGTCAAGGTAGCCCCGGGATCATCCCGGAATTCCCCGGGAAAAGGGAGAGGGATCCTGCCGAGGGGAACGGCCTGGGGGAGGAATTCCCGCTTTTCCAGCTCCTTCCTGGGATCTTGGGATGGGGGGGTGGGAGGAATCCCAGCATTCCCGGCTCCTCCATTGGATCCTGGGATGGGTGGTGGGAGAAATTCCCGCATTCCCAGCTTTTCCTTGGGATCCTTGAACCAATTCCCGGCTCCTCCCTGGGATCCTTGGATCAATTCTGGGAGAAATTCCAGAATTCCTGGTTTCTCCATTGGATCCTTGGATCAATGGTGGGAGCAATTCCCACTTTTCCAGCTCCTCCACTGGATCCTGGGATCAGTGGTGGGAACAATCCCAGCATTCCCAGATTTTCCATTGGATCTTTGGATCAGTGCTGGGAGCAATTCCCACTTTTTTCCATTGGATCTTTGGATCAGTGCTGGGAGCAATTCCCACTTTTCCAGCTTTTCCTTGGATCCTTGAACCAATTCCCGGCTCCTCCCTTGGATCCTGGGACCAACTGTGGGAGAAATTCCAGAATTCCTGGTTTCTCCATTGGATCCTGGGATCAGTGGTGGGAACAATCCCAGCATTCCCAGCTCTTCCATTGGATCCTTGGATCAATGGTGGGAGAAATTCCCACTTTTCCAGCTTTTCCTTGGATCCTTGAACTAATTCCCGGCTTTTCCATTGGATCCCGGGATCAATTCTGGGAGCAATTCCCACTTTTCCAGCTTTTCCTTGGATCCTGGGATCAGTGGTGGGAACAATCCCAGCATTCCCGGCTCTTCCATTGGATCCTGGGATCAATTCTGGGAGCAATTCCCACTTTTCCATCTCCTCCATTGGATCCCTGGATCAATTCTGGGAGCAATTCCCGCATTCCCGGCTTTTCCTTGGGATCCTTGAGCCAATTCCCGGCTCCTCCCTTGGATTTCCCTCCCCTCTCCCGCTTGGAATCCTCCCCAACCATTCCCACCGGGAATCCCCCTGGATCCGAGCCCGGGATCCATCCCTACCCTCCCTTCCCGCAGGACATCGGCCTTTCCCTACGGAAACTCATCGGGAGCGTCGACGAGATCCTTCCCGACCTCCCGCCCTCTTCCCGCACCGAGGTAGGAACTCCGGGAATGACGACACCGGGAGCGGGGAATTCCGCCTTCCCCCATCCCAATTCCCAAAAAAAAAAACCCCCAAAAAACTCCCGCAGATCGAGGGCACCCAGAAGCTGCTGAACAAGGACTTGGCCAACCTGATCGGGAAGATGCGGCTGGCGCAGCAGAATTCCGGCACTTCCCTCCGCTCGGAATTCCAGCGGCAGATGCTGACGGCCTCCCACGCCCTGGCCGTGGACGCCAAGAACCTTCTGGATTCCGTGGATCAGGCCAAGCTCCGGGCCAATCCCGGCTCGGAATGACGGAGGGAAGGCGGGAAAAGACAGGCGGAGACGGAAGAAAAGCCGGGGCGGATCCGGGAGGATCCGGGAGGATCCGCTGTCGTTTTTTTCCCCCTCTTCCCGCTTTTTTTTTTGTTGTTGTTGTTCCCTGCTGCTCGCGTCTGTCGGTGTCGCCTTGCTCTTGGGGGGAGGCGTCCGTCTGTCCGTCCGGGTGTCCGTCCGGGGGGGTTTTCCCGGGAAAAGAAGTGGTTTTCCTGGGAAAAGAGAGGGCTTTTCCTGGGAAAAGAAGGGGTTTTCCCAGGAAAAAGAAAAAGAAGTTTTCCTGGAAAAAGAAGGGGTTTTCCCGGGAAAAAGAGAGGGGTTTTCCTGGGAAAAGAGGGGGGTTTTCCTGGGAAAAGGAAGGAGTTTTCTCGGGAAAAAGAAGGAGTTTTCCCAGGAAAAGGAAGGGGTTTTCCCAGGGGAAAAAGAGAGGGGTTTTTCCAGGAAAAAGGAAGGAGTTTTCCCAGGAAAAAGAAGGGGTTTTCCTGGGAAAAGGAGGAGTTTTCCTGGGGGAAAAAGAAGGGGTTTTCCCAGGAAAAATAGAGGGGTTTTCCTGGGAAAAAGAGAGGGGTTTTCCCGGGAAAAAGAAGTTTTCCCAGGAAAAAGAGGGGAGTTTTCCCAGGGAAAAAGAAGGGGCTTTTCCAGGAAAAAGAGAGGGGTTTTCCCGGGAAAAAGAAGGGGTTTTCCTGGGAAAAGGGAGGGGGGATCCCCGTGGCTGCCGGCGCCTCCTCGGATCCATCCCCTGAGCGCGGGCGGCACGGCGGGAAAAGGAGACCCAGAGCGCACCAATCCGGGGGGAGGAAAACGGGAATTCCAACGGGGAATTCCAACCAGGGATTCCAACTGGGATTTCCAACTAGGGGATTCCAATGAAAATTCCAGTTGGGATTGCAACAGGGTTTTCCAACTGGGAATTTCAACTGGGGTTTCCAATGGGGGATTTCAACCAGGATTCCAGCCGGGATTTCCAACTGGGAATTGCAGTGAAAATTCCAATTGGGATTCCAACCGGGAATTCCAACCAGGATTCTAATGAAAATTCCAACTGGAATTCCACCTGGGATTCCAATGAAAATTCCAGTTGGGATTCCAGCCAGGATTTCCAACCAGGATTTCCAACCGGGATCTCCAACAGGGAATTCCAAGGGGAATGTATCCTACGGCGTCCCTAGGGAAGAGTGGATTTAAGGCGGGGGAGCCGCTTCCGGAGCCTGCGGAATGCGGGGATGGACGGACGGGAATCCCTGGGATGGGATGGGATGGGATGGGATGGGATGGGATGGGATGGGATGAAGTTGGAGAACGACGCCTCTTCCAGCCGCGTTTTTCCCGAGTTTTCTGTCGGCTCCGTCGGGTTTGCGCTTCCGGTTGGGAGCCGGGCGCTTCGGGCTTTTCCCCAGCGTTTTTCCCGCAGTTTTCCCCAGTTTTATTCCCATAAACCAAAATCCTGCCAAATCCCGTCCTCTGGAATTTCCTTGGGGAGGGGAAGGGTTGGGATAGCGGGAATGGGATCGGGGTTCCTGCCCCCGAGTGGGGCTTTCCCGGAAAAACAAAAAAGTTGGGATGAGTTTGGGGTGGCGGCTCCTCATTCCCAGGGTTTGAGGGAGCTGGGAAAACTCAGCCTGGGAAAAGGAAACAAAAAGGAGGATCCCGAGGGAGCTGCTGCCTCTGGAATTCCCTGCCAGGCGGGATCGGGATCTGCTCCCAGGGAATGAGGGATGGGATGAGAGGGAACGGAGGTTTCTGGGATTTTTGGGAATAATTCCTGCTTGGAAAGGATTTTCCTCAATCCCGGATGGATTCAAATCCGTGTGGATCCCGCAAAAACCAGGCTTGGCCTCCAGTGGCCGGAATCCATCTCCGGGAGATTTCCCGACCCAAAGAATTCCATAATTCCCAGATTTTCTCGGCGCCTGGGAAAACCCAACCCCGCCCCGGCGCGGCCACGGCTTTCCCATCCAGGAGCTCCCGGATCCGGGATGAATTCCGGGATGAATTCCGGGATGAATTCTGGGATGAATTCCGGGATGAATTCCAGGATGAATTCCGGGATGAATTCTGGGATGGATTCCAGGATGAATTCCGGGATGAATTCTGGGATGAATTCCGGGATGGATTCCAGGATGAATTCCGGGATGAATTCTGGGATGAATTCCAGGATGAATTCTGGGATGAATTCTGGGATGAATTCCGGGATTTCACTCAGGAAAACCTTCCCGGAATGTTTTCCCAGTGGGTTCTCCAGGAAGGAAAAAAACCAAATCCGTGTTTTTCTCCCAGTTTGGAACAAAGGGAGGGGCCCGGAGGATTTGTGGGATCTGGGAATGAAAAGCTGGATCGCAGCTCCAAGAGATTCAGGATTTTGGGATCTGAGGCGGGGTGGGGAGGACGGGGATGGATCCAGGAGCGCGGATTCCCGGCGCCGGAGATCCCGGGTGGGTTTTCCCCGATTCCGGGGGGGAATTCCCGTGTGGGATGGGCTGGGAAGGACCCGCTGGGTTCCGGGGGGGTGGAGAAGGGAAATGCCGGGGTGGGTGGAGCGGGGATCCGCTGGGATCCGCTGGGATGGCGGGATCGGGGGATCACGGGATCGTGTCGCTTCTGCATGGATCATCCACAATGTTATCCCCGTCCCAGGATTTCCTGGGATCGTGGGATCATGGGATCACGGGATTGTGAGATTTGGGGATCACAGGATTGTGGGATCACGGGATCACGGGATTGTGGGATCAGAGGATTATGGGATTGTGTGATCATGGATCATGTCCATGTCCCTTCTGCACAGATCATCCACAGCGTTATCCCTGTCCCGCAATTTCCTGGGATTGTGGGATTACGGGATCATGGGATCACAGGATTATGGGATTGTGGGATTGTGGGATTTTGGGATCATGAGATTGTGGGATTGTGGGATTTTGGGATCACGGGATTATGGGATCACAGGATTATGGGATTGTGGGATCATGGGATTATGGGATTTTGGGATCACAGGATTATGGGATTGTGGGATCATGGATCATGTCCATGTCCCTTCTGCATGGATCATCCACAGTGTTATCCCTGTCCCGCAATTTCCTGGGATTGTGGGATTACGGGATCATGGGATCACAGGATTATGGGATTGTGGGATCGTGGGATTTTGGGATCATGAGATTGTGGGATTGTGGGATCACGGGATTATGGGATCACAGGATTATGGGATTGTGGGATCATGGGATTATGGGATCACAGGATTATGGGATCACAGGATTATGGGATTGTGGGATCATGGATCATGTTGGTGTCCCTTCTGCACGGATCATCCACAGCGTTATCCCTGTCCCGGGATTTCCTGGGATTGTGGGATCACAGGATCGTGGGATTACGGGATTGTGGGATTATGGGTGGGATTATGGGATCACAGGATTATGGGATCACAGGATTATGGGATCACAGGATTATGGGGTCGTGTCCATGTCCCTTCTGCACAGATCATCCACAGCATTATCCATGTCCTGCCATTTCCTGGGATCATGGAATGATGAGATCATGGGATTTGGGGATCATGGGATTATGGGATTGTGGGATTATGACTTTTTGGGATCGTGGGATTATGTCCCTGTCCCTTCTGCACAGACCATCCACAGCGTTATTCCTTTCCCGCGATTTCCTGGGATTTTGGGATCATTGAATTATGGGATGCTGTCCATATCCCTCCTGCCTGGACCATCCGAAGCGTTATCCCACTCCCACAACTTCCTGGGATCGTGGGATTTTGGGATCATGGGATTATAGGATCATGTCCGTGTCCCTTCCACATGGACAATCCAAAGTGTCATCTCCTGTCCCACGGCTTCCTGGGATTGTGGGATCACGGGATTATGAGATTATGGGATCACAGGATTATGGGATCACGGGATTATGGGATGATGTCTGTGTCCCTTCTGCACAGCCCACTGTCCCACAGTTCCCTGGAATTTTGGGATCACGGGATCGTGGGATTGTGGGATTGTGGGATCGTGTCTGTGACCCTTCTGCACAGACAATCCACAGCGTTATTCCAGTCCCACGATTTCCTGGGACTGTGGGATCACGGGATCATGGAATTATGGAATCACGGGATCATGGGATCATGTCCATGCCCCTTCTGCGCCATCCGAAGTGTTATCCCTGTCCCACGATTTCCTGGGATGGTGGGATCATGGAATTATGGGATTATGGGATGGTGTCCGTGTCCCTTCTGCATGAACCATCCAAAGCGTCATTCCTGTCCCACGATTCCCTGGGATTTTAGGATCATGGAATTATGGGATCATGCCCATGTCCCTTCTGCACCATCCGAAGCCTTATCCCTGTCCCACGATTTCCTGGGATTCTGAGATCACGGGATTATGGGATCATAGAATTAGGGGATCATGTCCAGGTCCCACAGTTTCCTGGGATTTTGGGATCATGGGTTCACAGCATCACAGAATTATGGGATCATGTCCATGTCCCTTCTGCACCATCCGAGGCGGTATCCCCGTCCCACGATTTCCTGGGATTTTGGGATCATGGAAATATGGGATCGTGTCCCTATCCCTTCTTGATGGACAATCCACTGTCCCACAATTCCCTGGGGCTTTGTGATCATGGGATTATGGGATCACGGAATTATGGGATCATGGAATTAGGGGATCACGTCTGTATCCGTTCCGTGCGGACAATCCAAAGCGTTATCCCTGTCCCACGATTTCCCGGGATGGTGGAATCACGGGATTATGGGATCATGGGATTACGGGATCGTGTCCCTGTCCCTTCTGCACAGACAATCCACAGCGTTATCCCTGTCCCGCCATTTCCTGGGACGGTGGGATCACGGGATCATGGGATCATGGGATTGGGGGATAACAGGATTATGGGATTGTGGGATCACAGGATTATGGGATTGTGGGATCATGGATCATGTCGGTGTCCCTTCTGCACAGATCATCTGAAGTGTTATCCCTGTCCCGCGATTTCCTGGGATTGTGGGATCACAGGATCATGGGATTACGGGATTACGGGATCATGGGATTACGGGATCGTGTCCCTGTCCCTTCTGCACAGACCATCCACAGCGTTATCCCTGTCCCGCCATTTCCTGGGACGGTGGGATCATGGGATCATGGGATCATGGAATTATTGGATCATGTCCATGTCCCTTCTGCACCACCCGAGGCGTTATCCCTGTCCCACGATTTCCTGGGACTGTGGGATCACAGGATCATGGGAATCCCATGGAATTATGGGATTGTGTCCATGTCCCTTCTGCACCACCCAAAACCTTATTCCCGTCCCATGATTTCCTGGGATTCTGAGATCACGGGATTATGGGATCATAGAATTAGGGGATCATGTCCAGGTCCCACAGTTTCCTGGGATTTTGGGATCGTGGGATTATGGGATGATGTCCATGTCCCTTCTGCACAGACCATTCACTGTCCTGCAATTCCCTGGGAT